TAAATGCAAAGTACAGCACATGGCAAAATATAATCCCAAATATACATACAAAATGTTGGGATCTAAATTTGCTGAACCCATCAGTAAAGAGACCTTGGAACCTTTGTGGGTTGTTGTCTGAAGCTATCTGTTCCATGTGTACTGGCGATCAGAAAAAAACCCCAGGGTATGTCTACACTACCCCGCTAATTCGAAGTAGCGGGGTAATGTAGGCATACCGCAATTGCAAATGAAGCCCGGGATTTGAATTTCCCGGGCTTCATTTGCATAAGCCGGGCGCCGCCATTTTTAAATCCCGGCTGGTTCGAACCCCGTGCCGCGCGGCTACACGCGGCACGAACTAGGTAGTTCGAACTAGGCTTCCTAGTTCGAACTAGGAAGCCTAGTTCGAACTACCTAGTTCGTGCCGCGTGTAGCCGCGCGGCACGGGGTTCGAACCAGCCGGGATTTAAAAATGGCGGCGCCCGGCTTATGCAAATGAAGCCCGGGAAATTCAAATCCCGGGCTTCATTTGCAATTGCGGTATGCCTACATTACCCCGCTAGTTCGAATTAGCGGGGTAGTGTAGACATACCCCCAGACTATTAGGAGTCATTAGGAAAGAGATATCTAATAAGAAAATATATTGCTTCTATATAAATTCATGCTATACCCACATATTGAATACTGTGTGAAGATTTGATCATCCCATCTCAAAAAAAATATTGGACTTGGAAAAGTTATAGAGAAGGGCAACAGAAATTATTAGGAGTACTGAATTTACCCATATGAGGAGAGATTAAAAAGACTGGGATCTTTCAGTCTGAAAAAGAGATGATTAAGAGGGAGAACTCTTTGCCAGACCACAATATGAAGGTGAGATATGATGGGGTTAAAAAAAAAACTAGATATGTTCATGGAGAATAGGGGTCTCAGTGCTATTAGCCAGTGTGGGCAGAGATCCAGCACCATGTTCTGCGTGTCCCTTGCCTCTGTTTGCCACAGGTTGGGAATGGGTGATGGGACAAATCACTCACTGATGGCCTGTTGTGTTCATTCCCACCTAAGCACCTGGCATTGGCCACTGTCAGAAGACAGGATATTGGGCTAGATGGACCATTGATCTGACCCAGTATAGCTATTCTGGTTTTCTTGCACAGAACCCAGATGTATCTGTCCCCTGCTATAATCCACTGGACCTTACACCCCTCCCATAGCCGAGGGTCTATTTATCCCTCTGCAGAATTAGTGACAAAATAAACATTCTAAACCTAACAGTACCCTTGAAGTGACTTGTCACAAGATGTCAGAACACGTTATTATTAGAGCTGAGCTGGTCTAATATTTATTTGTCTTTTTTATATAGGGATGAGGTGAGATACAGGCCCACTGCCAGCTAATTTCTAAATTATCCGGTGGAAAACTTAGAGTTTTCAAGTGCCTAAGTATCCCCTGGAATCATGGTTAAAATTGCTCCCTCCTCAACTAAAATCTGAAGTGGTGCCCCTAAAAACCAGCCAAAGCTGATGACTCTGACACCACTGATCTGCTGAAGCAAACTATTTACAAAAACATATCCAAGCTTTTTCCCTGCTAGCTGTCAAACTTTGCTTACATTTGGGACAAACCATGGGACAAGTTGTTCTCTGGCCTTTACATCTTTGTGGGTTGTATATGTCTAGTTCATTTGTTGTATTGCTTTGTGTAAACATGGGGCTTTTTTTCCCCCTCAGAGTCTAAGTATAATCATGTAGATAATATATGATTTATTTGTGGCCAGATTCAGAATTTAATTCAGTCAAAAATGAAAGAGAATTTTAATTGTGCAAAGGGATACATCCAAGAATGAGACACATCCTGAGATGAGCAGGCAGATTATTGCAGAAAACACTTGCATTTGTGGACATTGAGAAATTGTGGAAGAGGAGACACATCCTGTGTAAATTGTACAGGAAATTTGCTGAGAATTTTTTAAAAAGCCAGCTATTTTTATAATCTAAGATGGAGATAGAAAACCCCAGGTCATGATGAATGTTAGTTGTTGGTTGGTTTTCTACGGTATTGTGTGTAATATGCTAAGTGGTTTTCAGATAGGCAAGATGATATAGTTTCTGACCTGCAGCTTACAATCTAAGGCTAGATTTTTAAGCAAATAGTTGATTTCTCTAAAAATGCTGTTTTGGGCAACCTGAAATTAGAAATGAACATTTTCAGCCATTCACAAAACAGCCAGATATGGAGGTGATGCTGCATTCCCTTTTCTCCCCACCCTATAACCTTTTCCTCATTGTTTACGATACTCGCAGGGTATGTTGGAGATCCATGTTGAGACCTGTAATGGACTTTTTTGGCTAATTGTATAAATTTCATATTTGATTGACCCAAACCAGTTTTTGCTCAGTTTTTTGGAAATACCATTGTACCCAAAAATCATTTATTTTCCCAGTTCTAGCTGCAATTTCTAGGGGGCCATCAAAGGCAATCAGGGGGGTTGCAAGGCATTGAAAATAATATTATAATCTAAAGCAAGGAAAATATAATTGCTAGAATTATTTCATGGTTAGCAACATCTTCAAAGTTTGTGAGGTCAAATGTAGTTGTTTTATATAGGCTTATCACGTATACAATTTATAATAAATGTAAGAGCATTTTCAAAATGTTTGACTTCAAATAAAAAGCCACGTTCAACAGCCTTAAAAGGCTGAGAAACACTTCTTAAATAGAAAGGTCAAGGTGCTACTTAGCCATTGCATGGTCCAAATTAGCTTAAATTCAGCTGGATTCACTCTACACCTGTGGTTTTCAACCTGTGGGCTACAGACGCTTGGGAGCTACATTCTATGTCTAATATTTCCAAAGGGTCTTCATCTCCATTTGAAATTATTCTTATGGGTCTGCAAAGCAAAACAGGTTAAAAGCCACTGCTTTAGACAGTGCAATCAGAAGTTCTATGTTGTATCTTTTGGGGAAGGTAAACTAAAGCTATTTTCTGCTTGTAGTAATAATGACGAGGCAGTTCTTTGAGAACCTGGCATTTCAAAATTCAAATGTTTATAGATCTGTAGCTATGATGGATGATGTGCTGAGAAGATTTGTCTCAGATTTGTTGACTTTTTTTGTTATTGCCTGTATGGAATAACCTTTTTTTAACAATAATTTTTTATTATGCCTATATTGCCTGTATGGTCATGGTGTTGAAGTGTAAGCAAAATAAAACTGCTTCTATGGTTACAGAACACATTTTGTGCTTAATAGCCTGCAAATGGCTCCTTTATTGCTCTGTTATGCTTAGTAGAGAGAATTTTTAAATCTCTGCTAGATAGCACCAATACATAAATAGAAAAGGGGTGAAATCCTGGTCCTATTGAAGTCAGGGGTAGTTTGATCAATGACATAAGTGGAGCTAGGATTTCACCCAAAAGCCACCAGCTAGCACCACAGGGACAGATATGTTGATGGAGCAAATAAGAGCAAGAAAGAAACATTGCAAGGAGCCGAAGTACCTACTAAGGGTACGTCTACACTGCATCCCTAGTTCGAACTAGGGATGCAGTGTAGACGTACCCTTAGTAGGTACTTCGGCTCCTTGCAATGTTTCTTTCTTGCTCTTATTTGCTCCATCAACATATCTGTCCCTGTGGTGCTAGCTGGTGGCTTTTGGGTGAAATCCTAGCTCCACTTATGTCATTGATCAAACTACCCCTGACTTCAATAGGACCAGGATTTCACCCCTTTTCTATTTATGTATTGGTGCTATCTAGCAGAGATTTAAAAATTCTCTCTACTAAGCATAACAGAGCAATAAAGGAGCCATTTGCAGGCTATTAAGCACAAAATGTGTTCTGTAACCATAGAAGCAGTTTTATTTTGCTTACATCTGAGATTAAGGCCTAAATCCAAGGCTCTAGTCACCACCCAAATAGCACAAAGTGTGAAGAGGGATATAATTAAAAGGAACTTTGCCCAGTCTAGGCAGTAAAGTGGCTTCAGACCTTCTCCACCAAACCCATCCTAGGCCAACCCCATGGTGCCAAATCAGTAGCAGGAGGACAAGAGAATCCTTACAGATGAAAAGACTCTGGGTTTGCCCCCTTTGCTTATCCTCATCTCCACTTGCTCTTTGCACATGTGCACATTGTTTGAGGGGAACCATTGCTTCTGCAGAGAGGGGTGCACCCTATCAGTCTAGCCCAACCCAATTCCAGTGCATGGCAGAACTCTGCCCCCTTCCATCCTGTTGCCCAGGATGATCTTCCCAGAAGCAACTTTCAGAATCATCAAGGATGGGATTTTTTAAAGTGTTCAGCACTGATCCTGCTCCCACTGGAATAGGTGGGATTTTTTACCATTGATTTAATCAGCAGCAGAATTAGACCAATGCAGAGATCTTTATCCCACCTTAAAATTTGCATTAATACCTACAGCATTCAGTCCTGCCGAACCCTGCCATTTAAAATATGTGACCTTAATTTATGTTCATTTTTCCTTGTATGTTTTGGTGCTATTTGAATATTATTTGGTTAGAAAGTTGGGAAAAGTTACCAAGTTAAACAGAGTAGTGCGCTCAGATCAAAGGAGCATTCTGCTTCACAAGAGCATGTGCGAACAAGCCATTTTGTGATTTACTTTATGCAGATCTTCATTAGTTGTTAGAGTTGTTCATTTTGTTCTTCTAAGAAGCAGAGCTGGGCAGGAAAGAGTTTGCCTGTCCTGTGAAAAATGTTGAGATTTCAAACATATTTTCCCATTCCAAGTTGAGGCAAAAATATCAATCTCAAAATGTTATGAACAAGAAAAAAAATTCAGTTTGGATCAACAGAAACATAATGGAACTTTTCGTTTAAAAATGTTAAAATGAGACCCTGTGACAATGTCAAACTTTGCAGAAGTTAGTTAAAATCAACCCTTTGCTATACAGTTCCAGTTTTAGTGAATTGGTAAAATATTTTTCATCAAAAAATTCCTGGTCAGCTCCAATGAGGAGTCACACGTTCATCTGTGTTTTTCTTTTCTTTCTTTAGAGTTGAAGAAGATTTAGAGAGGCTTTGGAAACCAAGCTCCAAGCCAAAACCCATGGTGCCACCTAAACCAGCATTGCCTAAGAAACCATTAATCACCACGAAGAACAGTGTTTGTCCAGCTGCTCCAGCAAAGCCGAAAGTAGACAAGATTCAAACCATGGATGAGGTAGACATTCTCCAATACATTCAGGACAATGAAGCTATCAGTGATCAAGACATGAGTCTCTTTTGAGGAGTCTATTTTTGGTTTTCCAAGGCTGCCTTATCCAAGCGCTCTTTGACCTCCTATGTGTGGGAGTCAGGAGTTAGCTCAAATTCTTAATTGTCACTGCATTTTCCAATTTGTTGTGATTAAAAGCGCAACAAGTCTGATTATTTCACATGCTCTAAATGGTAATGAGTAAGTTTTTCTACACGGTGCAATTATTGTCTAATGTTGCCTTATATTTTCAGAGTTTTTTATAGAATATACAGTATACAACACTATTGATTCTGTGTACTCCGGTCATGTCAATTTATTGTAACATTCATATAACACAGTTTTTGGATTACTAGACTGAGGGAAAACAGCATAGGCTACAAGCATGAATACTAGTCTAGTGGGGCCCTTCCATCTATTAGCTTTTTTCTCTTGTTCATCCTTGTAGCAACTTGCCTTCCCTTGCTGCTATTTCAGTGGGTTGCAGTCAGTTAATACTTCTATGGATACATTAAAATTCACCTCCTTTTAGCTCAGAGAGACTAAAATCTCACATTGCCTGAGAGTTCTTCCCCTATTCAGACACTCTTTGAGATTCAGAGAAAGTTGTCCCTCACCCCAGCATACATACAGCTGTTTTACTTTGATGTCCAGGCATTGGCTATATAGATGCACAAGTTCCAGATCAGGGGAGATCTAGTGCAATAGTGAAATAAGACTACACACTGCAAATCTATGCACAGGAACATAGTGCAGAGTTAGCAAATGACTGGAGCTGTATTTCAGGACATCTGTAGATACACAGACACTGAAGTAAAAAACAATAAATGGTCTGGTAGCACTTTAGAGACTAAGAAAACATGCAAATAGTATCATGAGCTTTCGTGGGCACAGCCCACTTCTTCAGATGACTGAAGTGTTTAGGAAGTTTGGGTCTTTTTCCTGATCTGAACTTCAGGGCTTGGGCCCATCTTTACAAAGACATGTAAGTGGAATGATGCTTTTTAAAAAAATTACTAAATATTTTGGTGAAATTTTAGCGCCCATGAAAAGTAAGAAGTTAACCTAGCACCTTACCGGCAGCCTGCACTGCCCTTCCTATTCCAGGCTCTTTCTGAATGTGCTGAATTATAATTTGGGCAAGTGTCTATAACCTCGATTGAAACCACTGAACACATCTCACCTGAGAACTAAATCAGATTGGGGGCAAGGTCTCCAGAAGTGAAATGCTATAGATTTAAGCCATGTTACCACCCCTCAAATCTGCCTTTTTAATGCAAAATGGAATAAAAAGCTTATCAAGCACTTTAAAAATATTTTTTATATTACCATGTTTTCTATTAATAATTTTTACTTTATTCCAACAGATAATGTATTAAGTACCATTTTAGTTTAAATGAGCAAAAAAATCAATATTAGATTTGATCCATGTAACATAAGATTCACTATAATAAAATGACGTGCTAACCTGTAAGTACTGTTCTTTATTGTGCCGTAAAATAAGGGCTGATAAGAGTGGAAAGTCGGGTTCTAATTACTTAAGCTGTGATGAATTGTCTATTTTTATTGCCATATGAGGGCAGCAAAGTATGTGTATAAAGAAGAAAATATTGAAGCCTCATTCAGATAAAGCTTATTAAAGTCTATCTGTGGTTCTTATATGGCTGTCTAATAATATATGAGCAGCTCACAAGTTTTAATGTATTTGACTTAACAATATCCTGTGAGGTATAGGAGTCCTCCTATCCCTGTTTTGCACCTGGAGACCTGTGGCATTGAGAAGGGGCAAGTGACTTGACAAAGGGCATATAAGAAGGGCAGGTAGGGAATGGAACCTGGTCCCAGGTGAACACTATTAATGATCCAAACCATCCTTTGACACAAGCAGGAAAAATCCAGACTATATCAACATCAGTGTTGCAGGGTTCAAACCTCCTTTTCTCTCATTTTTCTTTGTCACTTCCCTTGGAAACTCATAGTTCCTGGTGCTGTATATTAATTAGACATTCCTTTCAAATTGTATTGATAGTGTGACATTCACCCCTGTGCAGAGGTGCAGCAGAAGGCCAAGGTGCATGGTAAGTCCCATTTTGAGAGCTACAATTCATTGAAATGGGACATCCACCTTATGTTTATCTTTAGCATGGTTGTTATGGATTTCACCAGTGATGAAAAGGTGGTAAAGACTAGCGATGTAAGCAAGTAGTCAACTAGTTGACTAATCGATAAGCCTAGGGTTATTGGTTAATCTAGTCGACTACTCATCTACTTGCATTCCCCCTCCCCCACTTGCTGCCTCTGAGTCAAAGGCAGCAGGGGGGGAAGCAGGAGCCAGCGCTGTGGGGAACTGGCTTAAAAGCCAGTTCCCCCCAGCACCATCTCCACAGTGCCACCTTCTCCTCCCTAGGGCTGCTGCCTCTATCATAGACAGCAGCGCAGGGAAGGAGGGGGGGCACTAGAGGAGGCTGCCGCGAAGCAGCCCCTGGCCATGGTAGCCCAGGCTGGCTATTAGGCCCTCCCTGCAGACAGGGGTTGCTGCTGCTAAGCAGCCCCTGTCTGTGGTGGCCCAGGCTGGCCATGGACAGGGGCTGCTCCAGCCGGGCAGGCAGCCCGGCTCAGTCTCGACTTCTGGCCGGTCCAAGATCTACGCCCGCTGTGCCTCTGCAGTTTAAATGTTCTAAACCAGGCTGCCTTCCCTTATCGACTAATTGAGTAGTTGATAAAAATTCTATCTACTACTCAATTAGTCAGTTAACCACATCTTAACACCCCTAGCAAAGACAATGGTTTAGGGATCTTGGAAAAATAGGTTCCCTTTTTATAATTCCAGGGAGATCTCCAGAAAACCAGTTTATCATAGTTTGGAATTTTACCTCCGGTCATATCCAGTGTAGACTGGATTTCTTTGTCCTTCTGAGCCCTGTTGCTACATTCTCCTCTCCCTGGAATCCTCCTAATCGTCCAGAATATCCCCAATGATGGGTTTTGAAAAAGCTGCCTATACTAAATATCCTTCGTTTCACCACCTCAATTAAATACTCCACAGAGGGCTTTTGAGAGAATTGACTTCTCCTTCAGAAACTAGGCAAGTAGGTGGATATTGTTTTATTGTAATAACTTAGAAAATCCCTCACTCTGTGGGTATAATAGCACTTTGTCAGTTTTATGAATGTAGGCATAATAGTAATAATAATAATATCTGTTTAAAAAAAGATAAATTATCAAATCAGCACAGAGAAGGCAGAGTCGTACCTGCCCCTGTGTTCTTAGGGTCAGTTGTTATGTTAGAATGCCCATCTCTTCTGTAGTTGACAGTAAAAGAGACTGCCCATAACTCTCAGCAACATGCATTTGCTTTGCAATGCAGCTGTCCAACTTTGCAGTAATATTCATTGGCATTTAAAAAGTCAACTACTAATCCTCTAAGAAATTCTATGCAGTGAATCATTATTATGCAAGAAAAAATGTCAGGCGGCTGTAACCCAAATGTAGAAAGAGGGAACATTGTGTTCTTCTAAATGAAATCTAGGAATCCTGCTTTGACACACACAGAAGCCAGTCACTTCAGATTTTTTCCACGCAGCATTCCTACTATCTACTATTTTATTAGCCTGCTCTTGAACAAGCTTGGGTCAATTTTAGACTCAAACAACCTGTTTTAACCACACATTCAGGGTTTACAGTCATTCACTTCCAATGCACCGGTGATGATTGTATCATTAGAACTTCTGAGAAGGGCAGTAGAGTTTATTCAGACCTTACCACAGACTTTTCTGTCATGATTTGTTAAACTTTAATAACAGTAATCGCTGTTGCTTTGTAGTCTGAGCATCTCTGCTTTGCTTTGTCTGAGCTCTAGAACAGCTGCTTATAAGGTGGGATATTACAAATTAATACAAGGAAGATATTTTAACTTCATGACCATGTTATCCTTCAGGCTAGGTAGGGGATTGGGCATACACTTCCTTTCCTCTCTAGGACTTCTGTTCAAATCCAGCCTTGGTGAGTAGCAAGCAAAGCTGATTGCCATCTAGTAGTTACTGCTTGGCACCTAGTAGTCTAGTTGTGATGTCATAGTGGGTATTTTCTCCCTTTGCACAATTAAAAGTCGTACTGATGCATTAAAGGGGGAATCTGCTTCGCTCTTTTGTTCCTTTAACTGACACTGTGTGGGTTTAATAGCACATTTTATTCTAGGTTAATGGTGCACTTTGCTTGCTTCAAGGAAACAGTATATAAAACTACGTGGTTTATAGTAATGCAAAGCTCAGCAATAGAACACAACAGCTAAGAATGAATTAGTGACAAGAAACCAAAATAACTGAGCAGTGCCCTGAATTCTGTGTATCTTCTCTGGCAGACAAGTTTCACCAGGGTTAAAATAACAGGCTTTCACTTGTTGATCATTCCTTGCCTGTATCTATACGTTAATTACACACACACATACCTACTATCAAACTGTGCATCCAATTGTACCTGCATGACCTGATAGTGATCAAGAGAGTACATGGTTCCTAATGCAAAGCTTTATTTCTAGGAAGCAATATGTAGACTATAGGTTGCCAGGCCTCCAGTTTTTGACTGGAATGCCCAGTTGAAAAGTGACCCTGGCAGTTCTGGTCAGCACAGCTGACTGGGCCGATAAAAGTCCAGCGTGCATCTCAGAAGGGGCCCTGAACTAAGACACACTCCCTACCTGCCCTGGCTCCTCATGGCCCCCAGGTGCAGAGAGCACTGTCTGTGTACTGCCCTCTTGTTTGCAGGCATTGTCCCTGCAGATCCCATTGATTGCGGTTCCCACACCCCCTCCAGCACCCCAATCTCCTGCCCCGCCCGTAGTCTACTCTCACACCCAACCTCCCTCCTAGAGCCTGTACTCCACATCCCAACCCCCTGTTCCAGCTCTGAACTCCCTCTGAGTACCCTAAACTACTCGTCCCTGGCCTCCACCCCAGAACCTACAGCTCCAGCCAGAGCCCTTGACTCCTGCACCACAACCCCATGCCCCAGCCCAGTGAAAGTGAGTAAAGGGGGGGGAGGGAGTGACAGGCCGGGGGGGGACGGGTGGGGCCTTGGAGAAGGCAGGGTGGGGCAAGGGTGTTCAGTTTGGTGGGATGAGAACAGTGGTCTGCGCCCTTTTTAACCACAAGATCACTTTTTTAACAAGTAAAAAGTAAGCTCTCCCTCAAACCCAAATATCTTTGCCCAACTTCCTTCCCACCTCTTCTTTGAGGCCCTTCCCCTGCTCCATCCTTTCGCCGAGGCCTCACCCTGCTCGCTCCATTTCCCTTCCTCCCTGAATCTCATTCACTTTCACCAGGCTGGGGTAGGGAGTTGGGGTGCAGGCTCTGGTCTTGGGTCAAGGCATTTGGAGTGTGGGAGGGGACTCCCTGAAGGAAGGGAGAGAGGAGGGATGAGTTCTGAAGTGCCCTAGGGGATAGGGCATTTGCCTGGGCTTGAGTAACTCCTCCCCGAGAGCAGCCAGACAGCCAACACCAGCTCCAGGGATGCACCTGGCTCCCACATTAGGAAGGCAAGATAAGGGACCCTCTGATGGAAAGGGAAGTGGGATGGGTTCTGGAGTGGGCTAGGGCATTCTGCTGGGGAGTACAGGGTCATGGGTTCATGTCCCACCAACCCTGGGAGCAGCGGGACAGCCAGCAGCAGAGTCAAGGCAGGCCCACTCCCACCCCTGATGCCCAAAAACACCTGGCATGTACAGCAGTGGCTCCATGCACTACCCCTCCTCCACGTCAGGCTCCAACCCCACAGCCTCCACTGGCCACAGTTCTTGACCACTGATCAATGGGAGCTGCAGGAGCAGTGTTTGCAGGCAAGGACAGCACATGGAGACCCCCTGTTCTGACTCTCCCAGGGGCTGCAGGGACATGCCAGCCACCTCCAGGACCACAACTACCATCAGGACAATTACTCCAGACATGACAGGTTAGGCATGTCAGAACTCACTTCTCAAAGAATTAAATTCAAGCATTAGAGAAATGCAAGTTATGAAATGCCCACACTATCAACAACTGAAAACAACCCACTTTGTCATTCTCACAAACACACGCTGTGCTGACCCAACACATACATGGGGAATTAGTGCTTGTAGAGACACACAGTGTGTGAGAGTGACAGATTTGCATTGCCAAGCTCCCTCCATGCCCCCTTCTCTCTGTGTGGAGACAGAGTACAGGAGTGGAAAGGAAGGACACCTTGACATCAGCACCTCCCCTCATCTCCCTCCCACACGCTGCACGGCAAGCAGGAGGCTCCCAAGGGGCAGCTCCAAGGCAGACAGCAGGAGCAGCATGACAGTGGTGGAAGAGCAACTGAAGTGCCAGCACTTGATAGCTTCCCAGCCAAACCAGTCAGGAGACCCTAAGATCTACTGGTAGATTCCCATCTACTGGGTGGTGACAATCCTAATAGAACATTCTACTCAACAGACAACAATGACAATGAATGATAGTAAAGGAAATCACCAGCCAAATTCATCCCAGCCAGCAGGGATTCATTTAGCAACAGATATTTAGGGCCCAACCTTGTATTCACATTGTGCACCTCAAATTCATGCTGAAGCCAACGGTAATTTGCGTTTGCCAAGGATGTAGGATGAG